TATTCAACAAAGGCGTTAAAGTGAGGAACTCATGATGTAAAAAAAAGTCTACGTAAAAAGCAATATTGCGCACTTAGTACAGCTCATCAAATAAAATTGTGGCTTTGCTTTTTGGTGGAAAGTAGCATTGAACCAGACTCAGAATGTTTTTTAGACGCGCTTAGTAGTTATAAGAAGAAATTTTCTAAAACGCTTTCCAGTTGAGATACTGTTGATGGAATCAATGCTAATGATACTGATACTGATACTGATAGTGACTCTAAAACTGATACTAATGTTGGTGTAAAACGATGACTGTGTGTAGGCAAAAAAAAAAAAAAAGAGTAAAGTAAGCATAAAATTTAAGATAAAAAAATTAAAGTACATCTTGCCGTGTGGTAGTAGAAAGAAATCAGCGCCGTCTTATAAGCTGATGAGAATTTGCTTATTGCTTCAGTTATCCTGTGACGATGGATCAGGCAACATCAACAACATGGGTCCGATCTTTAGAAAACCAAAATATGAGAGCTTCAGTAAGGAGGAGGAGAAGGAAGATAAAAATTGCCAAAAACTTCTTTAAGAAAGGCACGTTAAGGCATCTCAACCAAAAGTGAAGGGAAATTATTATTCCGAAAATATTCGCTCTTATCCAAATAACCCCTACCGCCCCTACTACCTATACCACCCGTGCCTTTCCTCCCACCACCCGATCAGCCTCTCCCCCACCACCACCTCTCCTCTACCACCCGATCAGCCTCTCCCCCCACCACTGCCTCTTTTCTACCACCTCTTCTCCATCCACAGCTATAGCTAGAGCCTCTCCCCCCACCACTACCTCAAGGGGGGAGCTGGGGGGGTGCCAGAACCGCCATGGTTTACCTACTTCCTTACAGCCTTTTTTCGATGCAATTTTTTTCATCTACACAGAAATCATTTTAAACAACACCGTAAATAATGTCAGTTTGTAAAGGCTATATAATAAAAAAAAAAAGAATTTTTTGTTATTATCATACATACTACAAATTTTGTAGTATCCATAGGAAAAATAAATAATAAGAAGAAAAAGCTAAAAAACTTAGATTTCTTATTCTTTTTTTTTTAACTAGTAAATTATAAAAAAATTTTGGACTTATATTTAAAATGATCTCCTACTACCTCAATGTATGTTATAAAGCTAAGTAATAACTTTAGCAAATCAATACAGTGTTGGTAAAATACGAAAGTCTTATGTACATGATAATTATGATTAAAGTATAGGCAACAACCATTTTATTACTAGTGTAATTTAAGCTTCAGAGTAATGTACTGGAGAAGTAACTACAATATATTCATAAAACTTACTTCAGCCGTCCGATTTAACCAACGTAATACATGGAGTCCCCTATCAAAAGGAGTAAAGTAAATAGACAAAATCTTTAAAAATATAATTTTTCATGAAAATCGTTTATATGTTCCATTTAAATTTTAGGATAACTATAAAAACTTACAGCTGACCTCTGTGTAGCTACCAATATTATGTCACAACTTCGATGTTGGCAGAAAATTGACAAATAATATTATGAAACAAATAAGTAGACAAAATCTTTAATATTTCCGTAAAATATCCTCTGTAACTTTAATTCTCGTTATAGGATGACTGTCAACCTGAAGCCACTGACTTCTGTGCACCAAGCAAAAGTATTCTATTAGTTCAATGTCAGCAAAATACAAAAAATTAATCTCATTAAACAAATAGACAAAATCTTCGGAAAAAACCTTTTTTACGGAAAAACGATTTTTCTCATATCTCATCACAACTACAATTAAAATAAGATGACTGTAAAAACTGACCCAGCTCCCCTCTGAAAACCTACCAACATAATGTTACAATCATGATGTTGACAGGAAAGTTAATACAAATGTTATCAAATAAGTAAATACACAAAATTTTTGAAAAATATTGTAAAATATCGTCCACAAACTTAATTAAAATAATAAGACTGTAATAACTAACAAACCTTAACTCTGTGTACCTACCACAAGTTTTTTATGAGTTTTTGTCGACAGAAAATTTAAAAGCAAAGTTATTAACTAAATAAAAAAAGTTTTCGGAGAAATCCAGATTTTCGTCGTATCTCCTCAATAACTTGAATTAAAATAATGGATTGACTGTGAAAGCTGACGCAGTTGATCTTTGTGTATCGGGCAATAGTTTCTTATAAGTTAAATGTTAGCACAAAATTTAAAAATAATTTTAGTAAACAAACAATAGACAAAATCTTTAAAAAAAACAGAATTTTCGTGAAGTATTCTCTGTTACTTTAATTCAAATAACGGGATCACTGTAAAAATTAACGCAGCTTATCTTTGTGAATCTAGTAACAGTAATTTTTAAGTTTAATGTTAACAGATAAGTTACAAATAATGTTATTTACTACATAAACAGAAAAAAGCGTCGAAAAAATTAATGTTTTTCAAAAAAATTAACTCAAATATTTATCAGATAACAGGATGATTGTAAAAAATGACACACTTTACACTTGTACGTACCTACCAATATTATTTCATATTTACTAACATTATGTTACGACTATGATATCGGCAGAAATGTAACAATAATGCTTTTAAGCAAATAAATGGATAAAATATTCGAAAGAATCAATATTTTTAAAAAAGCGTCTGCAATTTCTATACTTATCATAGGATTACTGCAATTACTGACACAGCTCTTGCCTATATACTTGGCAACATTATTTTACAATTTGACGTCAGAAAAGAAGTAAAAAAATATTATTAAATGAATTAGTAGACAAAATTATTTGGAGTATTAATATTTTTGAAAACTTTTTCCATAACTTTAATTTAAATGATAAAATGGCTGTTAAGAAATTTTGTCTATTTATTTATTTCATTAAGTTATTATAAAGTTCTCTGCAGTCATTAAAACTGCAATATATTGTTAGTAGGTACATCGATAAGCTGCGTTAGTTCTTACTATCATCGTATTATTTTAATTGTAGTTAAAAAGGATACTTTTTACGAAAATCCTAACTCTTCTGAAGATTTTATTAATTTATTTATTGACTAACATTACTTTCAACTTCTCTACTGACACGAAACTCATACAAATACTGTTGCCAGGATTATAGAGATAAGCTTTGTCAGTTCTTACAGTCATCATATGATTTAAATTGAAGTTGTAGAAGATGTTGGACAAAAGTTTTGATTTTTTGAAAGATATCGTCTATTTATTTATTTAATGTTAAAAAATGTTATATTGCATATTTCACGAATATTTTGATTTTTCTAAACATTTTTGGCTATTTGTTTATTTAATAATATTATTTGTAACTTTCCTCCTGATTTTAAAATTTAATCATAATATTATTAGTAGAAACAAAGAGGTATGCTGCATCAGACGTCAGTATTACTATTATTTAAATGGAAATTGTAGAGGATATATTACGTAAATTTTGTTTTTTTTTATAGATTTTGTCAATGTATATATTACAAACAATATTTTTAACTTTTTTGCTAGTATTATAGTTGTAAGATTATATTTTGAGGTATGCAGAGATAAGCTTTCTCAGTTTTTATAGTAATCCTATAATCTGAACAGAAGTTATTAAAGATTTTTTTTAAGAATCTTATTTTTTGGAAGATTTTGTGAATTTCTTATTATGAAAATATTTTTATCTGTTCTACCAACATGAAACTCATAAGATACTATTTTTAGGTATACAAGCATAAGCAGTGCTTCTCTAGCTGGAACGCTGCGAGTAAGGCTTTTTTCACTGGATCGCAGTGAATGATGCTTTTTTTCGCTGTAGCGGGTTGAGTAAGTTTTTTTTTTTTTAGAGCACAGCGAGTAAAGCTTTTTTTCGCTGGAGCACAGCGAGTAAGGCTGTACTCCGCTTAAGCTCAGCATGTATGGCCTTTTTTTGTTGATGGGTAATGAATCGTGCTTCTGTTTATATAAGGGCTTAAGGAAAGTTTTTTTTCGCTAGAGCCTGAGCAAAGCTTATCTTCGCCTGAGGCATCGCTATTTACCTACATCAGTGATTGCTAACTCACCTACTTGATTTATTGGTGAACTACTTGTACATGGTGTGCAAGAAGACCGTACACTTCAAATTATATACAGCCACTGCGTGGTAATCACGCAAACTCATAAGATCTTACTCATACAAAAATCTTTTAACATATCTACACACTACTGACAAAGTACAAAAGGTCACCGTTATAGCTTTTATTATCCATACATGGACACAGCCTGACAGTGATATGATACTAATAGAAATGAAAAAGCCACTAATAAACTAGTCAAACTCATTTAGATGTATAGTTTCACACAAACACTGTAAATCCAAAGTGTATAAGTACACGTTTAAAGTGTGTAGTTAAAATTTTTGTTTTTTATAAAACGCATTGAGGTGACGTGTATAATAATTTTAAGGACAACCAAAGCTATGGTTCACAAAGTGGTTAGTCAGTTTCATTAAATTTGATAATTTTTAAAGAAAAAAATCAATGTAGGAGTGCTGTGGAGTTGAAAAACTTGGCTGTCACAGATCTTACGCACTTGTGAGCGTGTAAAATCTGTGACAGACATTTTTCACTCTGTACACCTCTTTAATGTCAATCATTCAAAAAAAAAAAAAAAAAAATTATTTAGCTTAGTTAAGTAGGTGAAATAGTTTACAAAGCATCACTATGATGGTTCTTGAAATGTTTATCAAGACAACTATGAAGCATTTTATAAAAACGAAAATTTTGATTACACTTTCAATGTGTACTTAAGCGCACTTTGATTTAATAGTGAAGCTACATTAGATACAGTGTTAAAAATAATAACGATTTTTATTGAATGAGTAACGACAAACAATATTTTAAATAATTTCAGTAGAACATAGTTTGTTAAAGAATAGCCTTATGTAACGACACATAAATAATACTTTTACACTTTTTGAACCATAAAAAATTTATTATTGAATAATCTTGAATCTCTGAAAATTTTTTATTACTAAGAATCTTCTTTGCAGATGCACACAGTATCCAGAACATCATCTCATATGAACTTATGAATGAAAAATCAGATTGTATCGCACAGGTTCTTAGACAGTGCTATTTAAAAGACATTTTTAAAGAGTCTATAATCGGAGTAGCTCTTAAATCATCTAAAAATTTGCCAATAATATTATTAGGAATCATGAAAGCTGGAATGGCATACTTACCCATCGACTTGGAGTTTCCTGCTGATCGTATAATATATATTCTGAAAGATGCCAAACCCACATTATGTATAGTAGAAGAAACAGGTACCTGTCATCATGCTTGAAATAAAATAAAATTTAAAACGTATACGAAAATTAACATATATTTTTCTGTTTTATTAATTAAAAAGCATTTTGAAAATAAGATACTACAAAATTTTTTACTTGTCTTTAAAATTTTTTTAATCAAAAATGTTTGAATGCTTCATCTACCAAAAAAGGACGTTAGCAAATAACACTATTACATCACATAAATTATATATTTCAATGCCTAATTCATAGTTTTTTTATTTGAATAATAGTTTAGAGAATTTGTACTGTCACTTGGCTTTTTCTAGTATTCATCTATATTTTTTTAGAAGGTTTTTACAGCAACCATAATTTCGACCTTCTTAAGGTAATAATTGTATTTGTATAAAATATAAAAAAAAAAACATTCTTAAGAGAGCACCTTTTTATTGTTAACCAATCAAAATCCAAAGAAACTTGCATTTTCCATGAGTTACACAATAACTCAAATTATACTAGGATTTCCTGTATTTAAACTTTTAGGTGTTTATTTTTTTAGGTACAAGTTGTAATAAGCTTAGTCGATTTCAATTTAAAAGTATATTGCTGTTTAAAGTGCGATAATTAAAAAATATTTGTGAGATAACATGCAATTCCATAGCACAAAAAAGATGCTTTATTTTTCAATATTCTGATTTCTTTATGATAAGTACAACCATAAAAAAAATCACTTAAACCTAAAAAAAACTAAGGTGATGAAAAGTTATTTAATACTGTTTGAAAATGATGATTACAAAACTTATAACGTTATACAATGATATCCAATCCAGTATGATATTATGGAAAGTAGTATCTCAACAATTCTAAATGTCTTATGAACCATGTTTAAAATATTTTACGTTGGTTCTTTAAAATTATTTGAGAAAATAATGTATGTTAAACGGAATAAAGTCGATTACAATAAGTCAAATTCGTTGCTACGTCGAGAGTTATTATTAACAAAAACATGATTTATAATAAGAATTTTGTTTGTAAAAACTGTAAAAAAGAAATTTATTTTTTTTCAAATAAAGGATCTTAAAATAATAAGAGCAACACAAAACTGTTAAGTATTTTACCAGTATTATAAATCCATGTAACAGTCACTGTAATACTTTAATAAGCTAGTTTTGACATTGAAATATTGGTTAAAAAAATAAAATACCTTACATATTCAATACACTTTTTATCAGCCAAATTTTTAAGGAAAAAATTCCCGGAATTGCATGATTTAACATTGTTCTTATGGGCGAGAGCGATTATTAGCCTTTGTTGCACAAATTTTGAGGCTAGATATTTATTCATGATGAGAAAAAGTTCAAATGAATAGCTTAACTTATAAGGAAGACTCTCGTATCAAAGAATGTGCACCTTATCAGGCATTTGAAAAAAATATCTCTGCAAATCTAAACAAAGTCGCGAGGTGGTTTTATGCTAAGAATATGAAATAGAACTGAGCATCGTCTGCTGTCATGTCAGCTGGTCTTTTCATACATAGCGGGACGTCTTTACAAAATTGCTTCTAGAATTTGTTAAACTGGAAATCATGATCAGAAACTTGGTCCAGCCTTTCTTTAGAATTCAAACTATAATACTATGAAAAAAAAGTTTGTTTTTCGAAAATTCATAACACACTTTTGTTGACAAAAGTTGAGTCTCTTCTTACTTTTTTTAGCTTATTTTTTATCATCCAAACAACATATTTTCACTTTTTTTTACTTGAACTATCAGAAACAAGCTGCTTTAAAGTACGTACCGTAATTTGTTCATAACATTTAATGGCTTAACTTTTGAGCACTAACGAGTTGAACATAGTTAAATTAACCATGATGCTGTAGGCGGATGTTTTCATGCACGGTTAGTACAACTCACATTAACACGGTGTTTCATGGGAGCCCATGCACATTCACTCACCCCCCCCCCCAGAAAAAACGATCAAACTCCTTAACATGTCAATTAAAAACGTAAATGTTTAACGAAGTTACTAAGATAGTTTCAGTTCACAGTTTGTAACATACGTTGACATAAAAAACGATATTTTAACATGTAAGCTTACAGAGAAATCATTTAAATTTCAAGTTCTAGTAAATGGCTTCATTAAAAAAAATTTTTTTTTTTGTATAAAAGAAGAATATTACAAGAAAATTTTGGTTAAGTTAAAGCAGTTCCATTAAAAATTTATATTACGAACATCTAGAAATGTGGTTACAGCAGACGACTTGGCAGAGCTACTTTTGGCGTGCTTTTAAAAACTTTCACATGTCACAATGTCATATAAAAAATGGGTCCTAATCACTGAACGCGTTCCTCAACAACATTAGTCAAATATAGTTTATAATTATATTTTCTACAAAATATTTTTTTGATAGTACAATTGACATCAAACACTCTCACCATCAACAGCAGTATCAGCTTTTAAAGTATGACTCCAACGGCAATGCTGTCCAATGGTTTTTATTTATTTATTAAAGCAAAATAAATAAATTAAGACCATTGGACAGCATTGCCGTTAGAGTCATACTTTAATATTGCAATATCCTGCTGTCGTCAAATTCATAGTATTACAAAGTATCAGCTTTTCTTATTTTCATGGTGGAACTTTCAACAATTCAAGGTGTTTTATCCTTTTCCTGAAAGTTGAGCTTCGTGACTTTCTATCTTTGTCTAGTTTTTTTAACAAACGTTCCGTTAACGAATTTGTCTGTTGCCAGCAGCATTCATAGTTATTTAAAATATTTTTTTTTAAATTAACCTATTTTAGTCGCGTGTATAAAGAAAAAAATTTATTTACATTTAACTAATGAATTATTTTTTTAGTCTAAATTTAAAATTTTAACTGAATAATTATAAAACTTTATTTAGAGTGAATAGCAGAGGAAATATATTTATAACAGTCATTACTACTATGTTAATAGTAGACGACACGACGTGTTAGTAGCTAAAAAAAAGTAAAGCGTTGTTAAACGTTCTTTCTCCCTGTCTTTCTGTCTCTTCTAACCTCTCTAAGATTTTATTTCACCAACAGTACTAATACTTAGTGCATAAATTCAAGACTTATTTTTGTAAAAACATCAGCTTCTAAATAATTTGAATTTATAAATTATTGAGGGATATAACGGAGTTAAATAAATTAGAACTTAGTATTTAGATATAAGTGAATATTTATCAAATAATCAAATAAAGTCTAATCATCTGCCGAGTGAGTCGCACGCCATAGTTGCTCGTCATACACCTTACTCTATTGAGATTCCAAAAGGTCTCGTGACTCTCGCGGTATATATAGTCACTTGGGGGAAAAATAACACAGGCCTTGTAGGTGCAATTGTATTTTTATTTTTTTTACACGTTCAGCGATTGTAATACGACAAAAGCCTTTCAATAACATGTTTTTGAGGAGATGACAATACCTTAGCTCTTTTTTTTAACTCAATTAGTATTTTGCAGTTTAAAACTTTCCTTTGAAAGTACGAAAACGCACATTTAACCTGTACAAAAGTCATGTTTATACACCTATATATAAGCAGCGGCGGGAGGGAATGGTACTGGTTAAATGTGCGTTTTCGCACTTTCAAAAGAAAGTTTTAAGCTGCAAAAAACTTATTGAGTAAGGGAAAAATAGCTTAGGTAATGTCATCTCCTCAAAAATATGTTATTGAAAGACTTTCATCGTAGTACAATCGTTCAACGTGTAAAAAAAATAAAAATAGAGTTGCACTCTTAAGGCCTGTCTTACCATTTCCCTAAGTGACTATATATATCGCGAGAGTCACATGACCTTTTGAAATCCCTATACTTGCCCTACCTTCCTGTATCAACTCTTCACCCCTTGCTTCCTTTTTCTCCTACTCTGCCTTTCATACATATATCACATACGTCAGTCGAACTCATATCCCACATTATAACATAAGTTTAATTTTTTTTCTTAAGTTAATTTCAACTATTGGCCAAAGAGAACTACAGTGCTGGCTCAACACGTTGCACAATTTTATAATTTTGCTAAATATTGACATACTCCTCTGTTATGATTAAAAATAATATATTATAGAGATGAACTTCCCATTATGGAGTACTGTTTAATTATGATAATACTTGTAATATATGAAACTACTGTATTATAATACTGTTATACACTTGGAGTAGTAAAGAAAAACTAAAAATTTTTGATATTTTTTTCTGGTCTGCTACTTCGTTTTAAAATATCTTTTTGGTCACTAAAACAATTTTTTATTAAAATAATTTTAATTATAACATTATTTATTTTACAAACTGTAATTCATTTCATTACGTTTTTAAAACTTTATTTTGTCGAACAAGTAACATTAAAAATATTAAACATAACTCATAAGCCATTGAAAATTGTCTAGCTACCGCTGTGAAAGGTATTGAATACGATCGTATAACTGTATTAGCTTAAAATTTATGACTTCACTTAAAATACATATTACTTTCCTTTATTATTAGTTGCGTTGTCATAATTCTTTACTAAATAAGTACAAAACACAGCAAACTCGTATAATATTTTACTTTAGGTTTGAGGAAGTTATTTTTAAAACATCTTACTTCTTTGTAAATTTTCAAAGCAATTTATCATTTAAAAAATTAAAACTAGAATCAGAAGAACTTCTAACCATAATACGTAATAAACACTAATCGAGTCCTACTCGTTACGGTATTTAAATTTTATAATAAAATGTTCCTTGTTTTTTTGTGAACTATTGGCAGATCATGAATTTGTTTAAAGAATAAAATACAAAGATTATAAGCACCTCTTTAACATTTTTTTCTGACAATAAGCTTAGTATTAATATACAGACATCAGTTTGATTGATGTAACATATTTGTATAATGTTCTAATATTTTACTTGCGTTGTAAAAAAATTTCATTGACACCCTAAGGATTTTTAATAATAATTCTTACTTTTCATGTTAAAATGGCATTTATTTTTAAATAAGTTATTCCATTAATGTATTAGTCAGTTTTCTTCCATAATATAATA